GCCGCGCAGCAGCCGCCCCGCCATGGCCCGGGCGGGGAGGAGCCGGTGCCCGCCCCGCCGCGCTCCTCCCTCCCCCCCCGCGGGGCCCGGGCGATGGAGCGGCCCGGGAAGGCAGCCGAGCGGGAATTTCCCCGCGGAGGAGGTGCCGGGATCGCTGCAGAGCATCCCTTACCGGTTCAGCTCTCCTGACCCTGCCTCCTCCAGAGCACCGAGAACAAGCCGGGTCTCTCTCACTGTTTTGGCTAGTTAGTGATCTGTTTTTTCTTTCTGCAATCTTTGTCTCATCAACATCTAGGACTGTCCTTGCTGGTTACAGAGAGAACTGTGGCCAAAAGAAAAAAAGGGGGGAGGGGGGAACCCCTAAATCATGAAATTCTTTTGTCTTTGAGGCCTATCTGTACATGCAACCTCCAAACAACACACCAAAGGCAGTCCATGGGGGTGAAGATGTTCACAGAATCACAGCCAACCTTGGTTGGAAAAGACCTTCAAGATCATCCAGTCCCAACAAATAATGTTCATCTCATGTTTATTCATTCACTTTTCAGGAGTGAAACTACATACAAAAAAGTAAAAAGAGCTAATTGAAAGGTACTCTGAGTTATGAACCAATTTAAAGAACACATTAAAATGCCTCACAGCTTTAAAAGAACAAACACTTATTAGTGACAAGCTCTTCCAGAGGGATCATGCCCAGACAGAGCAGCTCAAAGCTGCCCTGCTTACCCCTTGGTGCTGAGCACTCAAGTCCTTCCACAAGAGAGAAGTCGTATCTACCCATCTACAAGAGAGGAGCACTTACAATTAATTCCTGTTGGTTCCTGAGTGACAATCCTTGTCTGGTGATAAGAAGCTATTGTTCCACAGGGTTGAGACCTGAGAGGAAGGGCAGTGGTGGCCCAGGCCCCAAAGCAGGGCACTCCAGAGCTGCTGCAGCTTCCTGGTGAGGCTCTGCACACTCACAGTCAGGAGCATCCAAGGATGGCTCAGTCTCCACAGCTGGGAGCCTGTCTCCATGTGTGTGCTCACCAGAGCTGTTTCTGAATCTGTTGCTTCCTAGGGAGAAAGACAAGCAGTGAGGTGTGAGCCATAGGGACCTGTCTTCAAACTGAGCACGTTTGGCACCAGCAGGTGACCTTCTGGTGGGAAGTATCTTGCTACCTGCAGCTCCGCCTTCTCTTAGAAATCATTCGTGTGTTTGGCACACCCTGGGGGTAGGAAAAAAACCTTCAGAACAACCTCTCACTCACCTGACTCAGGAGAGATGAATACCTCTTCCCAGGTATAGTCCCCCAGGTTCACAGGCTGCTTCAGCCAACCATCCTCTACTAACACGGGGAGGGTGGTGCGCTGCTCTGGGACGGGATGCAAAAGCCCAGCCATGAGATCCATGAGACCTGGGGAGAGACAGAGCTCAGAGGAATGCCTCAGGCTGTATTTTAGGCATGCTGGGAATGCAAGATATGGTTTCTATTCAAAGAATGCAGATTTTCATTAAAAATCCTCCTCATTCATCCCTTGTGTTCTACCAGAGTCTTTAGGAATGATCTAGGATTTCCAGGTTGTGCAAACAGAGAACTGAGCTCAGAGTTATGACACTGAGGACAGAAGATGAAGCGAATGCCACAGAGGCAACCCTGACTCAGTCTTGCCCTGCAGTCACCCAGTGTTTGATCTAGGGTTAAAGGTGTCCTCGGGGTTGAAGGAAAGCTTCCAGAATTTACCCTGGAGCCTTAGGAGCACTGTGGTTCTAAGGACCCCAGAGAACTTGTTGATGAGGATTTCTTTAGTCTGGCATTCAATTAGCTTTTTATACCTCCAACGGTAAACAAAGCCATACAATTAATTCAGAAATTATAAATTAACACAGTATCATCCATCTCAGAAGTGACATAGCATGGATTGGCAGTAGTTCAAGTAAGATAAAACTTGCATTAGAGTCACAGGAGTGACATTACTGATCTTAAAAAGTTCTCTACTAGAGTGAACTTTTCCCATCAGTCACTATTTGTTCTGGTTTTCTCAGGTATAAACCTCAAAGGTTGAAAAGCTGACAGGTTCAGTCATCATAATACATGGGAGGCCTGCAATTTGAAACTAATCAAACATAGGGCAGATAGCTGTGTTCATCATAGGCATGAACTGCAGACCTCACCTGAAAAGGACACCTTGGACAACTCTTGCTTCAGTGAGCAGCTTTTAAAATCATTGTAGAGCACATTTGGAAGCATTTTCCCCCCAGTCTTGCCCTTTATTTCAGGAGGATAAACACTGCTTATACTTTCCCAAGAGATCTGCTTCTTTAGAAAAGCAAACAGAAAAAATTCACCTTTTGACACAGGCCAAGGAGGGTTCAGGACAGCTGCCATTGCTTCCTCCAGCTCACAGAAGGGATTCTCTCCAAATACTAGTGTGTAAAGGGTGACACCAAGGGACCACATCTCCAGCTCAGGGCCATGGTACCTAAGCAGAGATAAACTTGCCTAAACTCAGACTGAAAACACAGAATTGCTTGCTAAAGAAAGGAAAAAAAAAAAGGCAGCTATAGCTCTTATTTCCAGTTTTCAATATAGGAAGTTTGTGAGAATTCTATTAAGTTTCGCATGTGTTTTTGATAAGCCTGTGTTATCATTCTCAATGAAAAGCAAACAAACAAGGAATGGCTAGCCAGTTTCAGTTGTATTTATAATAGGCACCTAGACTTCTACAAGCAGAAGTTGGTGCCAAGAGAACTTAAGCCTCCTCCTTCTCCACCATAAACCGCAACTATCAAGTGAATATTTAAATGGAATATTAGACACTTCAGTGGAATCCCATTTGTCCCCTCTCATCCCTTTCAAAACAAAAGTTATTTGGAAATAGGAGAAAAAGGGACAGTTTCTTCACACAGTATCAGGCTCAATTCTCAGAGCAGCACTGCTTTGGCTTCCACCTAATTCCCAGCAGGAACTTCCTCTCCCCCTTGCATAGCTTCTTCCCCCTACCCCATCAAGAGGAGCTGCCTGAAGGAACCACAAAAAACATTTGTGAAATGAGAGCAAAGCAAGGCTTTGCAAAACATCTGACCAGAATAAGAAAGTCTGTTAACAGTTTTGTATGTATTCAAGCCTTTACACATCATTTCTGTCATTGCAGTGCCCTAAATCTCACTGCAGTGCTCAGATGCTCTAGCAGGGCACCGATGGCAAAGCAGCTTGTCTTCTCTATGGTTTTCCAACCATGACTATTCTGTGAATCTGTGATCCTAATCCAGCCCTACACCCCCCTGGTTTTGGTGTGATGGACACAAGAATTACTTGTCAGAGGGTGACATACGGTTTGCCAGACAGCACTTCTGGAGAGCAGTACTCAATTGTCCCACAAAAGGTATAAAACAATTTGCCAGGTTCCAGGTAGGCAGCTGAACCAAAGTCCACTAATTTAATGGTAAAATCTTCAGCAATGACAATGTTTTCATCCTTGATATCTCTGTGGAGAATATTTCTACAGTGGAGATACCCAACAGCTGAGACAAGCTGGAAGAGGAAGAAAGAGCTCAGTGTTACTACAGAAATGTCCTTCTGGATAGTCTACTTGGCACCACAGAGTTCCAACAGCCCCATTTGGGCTGGTTTTCACACTCTATTAACAAGATATAGATCCTAATTTTGGTAACTGGAAATGAACCCTGCCAGCATTGCTGCAGTGGGTGTTAAAATGCTCTTGGGAGAGAGACTTAAAAAAGCCTTTTCCTTGTTTAGCTCTCACAAATCTGCAGGAAGATGGAATGCTCTGGTCACATTGTGCTTGGGTTTTTTTTGGTTACAAGCATCAGAACTTACTGTTACAATTCTGCTGGTGACTCTATTTTTATCCCAGCTTCATTTGGAGGGTCCTTTGATTTCTCCAGAAGGATATTACTGTGTGCCTCTGATACTGCAGGATGACAAAGCACTCAAAAGAGTGATGTTTTATATAAATAATCTAGTCACTCCTAAATTCCATTCTTCTTTCTGCAGGATTCATGGTGTGGTGCCATCATTAAGAATAGCATCAGAATTATATCACCTTGGAGACAATCGTGATCCTTACCACAATGCATTTGAGAGAGAAAAGCAGATGGCTCAGGGAGAAAAGTTGCTATTTATAATACAAAGCTCCTGCATGGAAATAATGTACAGGTCTGAAGTAACAAAGCACAAGGCTGGTTTAGGAAAAGGGCTTTATCTATCAGAAATCTAAAGGGCCCATAGGAGAAAAAAGTTGTTCCTAAATTTCTGGCTAGTTGTGGCATGACCAAGGGGGTGAATTCCTTGAGGACTGCTGTTGTGGTTAACTCACTGAATAAATTCAGCACTTAGGCAGCTTCTGACTCACAGCAAACTACCTTGAGTCATTCTGCATTATGCCACATTAAATGGTAAGATAATGTTCTGATTTTAAATTCCTTAAGAAGAGGGGAGCCCTTTACCCCCAAAACCAATCCAAACCAAACATTGATCCAAGTGAAAGCATGGCTTTTAGTGAGGCTTGGGGCAACTTCCACACACTTCCCTCTTCCCACAAAGGAAATGAGTGCTACATGAATGGACACCCTGGTCAGAGGGGGGGTGTGCTGCTAGTCACAGCCCAGAGGCAATGGCTCTGTAGGAAATCCTCATATGAAGTAAAGTCCTCTAGAAGTTTCCTTATACATTTCAAAGCAAACCTTAAAAAGGTTTCTGCAGGTAGCTCTGCAGTTAGCTAGAAAGCAGCCCTTCAGAACAATGAGGGGAAGTTCTACAGGTGGTGAGCAAGATGCTGGTTCAGCTGATTAACCAGTGAAATAGGGTCCTGGTTCTTACATGAATCAAATCTTACTTCATGTAGCAACTGCACATTCCCAGCTCTCACCTGTCTGAATATATAGCTTGCTAATGGCTCATCCAAGTTGGGCTGATTATCAATGAATGTGAACAGATCCAGACCAGATCCATGCTTCTCCATCACTAGTTGGAAAAAGTGTTCATTTTCAAAGACATTCAGCACCTATAAATAACAGGCTTTTAAACACACATGCTTCATCCTCAAATGGCCTTTTTTAAAAAAATAAATAAATATATGAAAACACCCCCCTCCCCAAAAAAACAAACCCCCACACATACACAAAAACCAAAAAAACACTGCTCTCCTCTTGGAGATTGAATCAATGTATATTCTAATCTTTGAAGTCTCATTTCACTGAGCACAAGTGTTTCTTGAAAAGAGAGAATAATTAAAGCTGAGAGCAGAATTAAAACCAAGAGGATTTATCTTTTTGGGAAAAAAATATCTCCACCCAAACCCAACGATGCCATAAGAAAGAAGAGAAATCAAGATTTACTGAAGTAGCACATGTCTAGAGGTGACACTGCACTTCCAAGATGTACTTCTTATCATCTTGAAATAACATAGGGTTTTTTTGTTAGAGTCACAACTCCAGATAAATGTTTACATTCATTGGGGTAAAAGTGTCCCAAAAAGTGATAGTCTGCTGTAACATACCCTCCAAGACAAAAATGGGTATGTAGATTGCTTTCTATCCTGAAAAAGTAGATTTAATACAGGACACTTTCTCACTCCTGAGGGAGTGAGAGACACCAAGTATTCAAAGGAACCATATGATGCAGTTCTAACTGCATCTCCTCAGAGTCCACTGTACCTTAATGATATTGGGGTGCTGCAGCTTCAAAAGGATGGAGATTTCTTGAGTAACTCTCCCCAGGTCAGGATCATCTACCCAGCAGTCCTCAAGCACCCTCTCCTTCCAGATGAACTTGACAACAACCTGCACAGACAACAACATTCAGCACTGCCTGCAAAAATATGGCTTTAAGTGTCTGATAAGTTAATTGCCAGGTAAAATGTTAGTGAACGATTACTAGAAGGGCAGAAGCAATGCAAGGTGTATTGCTTATAGTACCTTTAAACACATTTGAACTCATTTAGTCCTAGATGCACAGAATACAAGATCTTTCTTTCCTTTTTATTGATGCTCTGAATTCCAAAAGCTTTGCCAGGCCAGCTCTTTTATCATCCCAGTTACAGCAGTGGTGACTTCTAACACAGGGGTGCAGTGGAAGGAAATGAGGCCTTTCTGCATGCAGAGAAACACCAGAGCTTGCCCCTCAACACCCAGAATACTTCTGATCGCATTTTTCAGCCTAAATAATTATTGCAATGAGATCTAAAAGAAATATTTAACCTCCTGGTGATCTTGCTTGTCCCTGGCAGTCCAAACAAAGCCAAAAGATCCTTTGCCAATAAGACTGAGAGTGGTATAATTTTTTGCATATTCTCCCTCACATGCCCTTAATCCTTCAAGTTCTTCAGCTCTTCGGGAATTCTCAAAAAGGGAAGTTGATCTGATGGCCTAAGTACAGGTAAAAAAACAAAAACCAAGAAAAAAATTAAGCAAGCCACAGAATCAGGTTTATAAAACCAAGTAAATACTGAAAAGAAAGTATAAATCTGCAAGCCCAAAGGAGTAATCTTTGGTTTTGTCATCAAGAACTGTATGTTGATGTGACCATCACCATACCACACAACTGAACTCAGTCATCACTCAGCAGCTACAATTACTGCTTAAATCAGAGAAGCATCTGCACCTTAGAGGCTCACAGAAAATTCTCTGTGCAAGTAGGAAAATGAACTCACTGATCTATCACCAAATGATCATTTTACTTCATTAATAAAAAGCTGGTTACTTGCAATGCTGTAATTTTTCCAGGCAAGTATATTCTAGATGGACAGAACTAAAAAGGTACTGCTTTAAGCCCTGTCTATAAATTTATGTCTGTTTGCCTCAGTAACCTAAAAAGGGCTGGTAGATAAAAGATATTAAATTCCCAGTGTTTACCACACTTTCTGGTAAGACAGCGTTTTAGTTCTGTAGATTGGTCTCTTAGCAGACATAAATAGGGAACAAGTTCAAGGCAAATCTACTTCAATTTTAACACCCCAGTAGAGAAACATCACCTGCCTTCCTACCAAGGCCTGTGACACTGCAGGAGAAATTAAACACAAGAGAAGCTTTTCTTGCTCTCAGGATGGGGCTTGGGGTTGTTTATCTCTGCAATGATTATCTTTCTTCACCACAGATGGTATCTACAGTGCATGATATCAGAACATCGTTATGACATTAACAGTATTCCTCAATAAGAGGAAACACGGCAAATCTCAAGGGGGCATTTGTTTGGAACAGTGAAATTTGCAATTATACATAAAATGATCAGAACTGCTTATATTTTGACATGCATGTGCATGTACATGGGAGATGATTTTCTAAAAGGAAAAAAGAGCCCCCTTATTCCTCAGTTCTCAAAGGTCTAATAAAAAATACCTCAAATAGCAAGTTTTGCCAATAGCCAAGCTTTTAAAATATCTACATTATCTCCTAGCTCACTGATTAAAGGTGAGGCAGGGGAGGAAAACTGCGGGACTGATCCACAGTACATTTCAATAAACAGCAGCTCCTCAGAGTCTCTAGTAGTTTGCATCTGTCATCACCAAAAACATGTTACACATGTGGTGCCTAAATATCTGTGCACTTCTGTGTTAAGTTCTTCTTAAAATACAGCTATGTAAACACCTAGGGAATGCATACATGTACTCAAGGAACCCAAAAGATGACCACTCTCTATTTCAAGTGATCAAAGATACTATTTTCCTCTACAGCCTTGGTTGAAGTACTGTCAATTTTACATCCCACTACTAACTAAAAAGCAATTTTGTCACCCTGATGGAAGCCTCTATTGTAGATGCACTTAAACCAGTTGAAGAACAATTTTAAAACAAGTGCTTTCATTGTTCAGACTAGAAAGATAATTACACAAAGCCAAACACAGACTACCAGAACTACTGCCAAATAGCAATTTAAAACATTTCTTTTGACATAAAAAGAAGGAAACAAAGAAACAGCAATATCCACCCACTACCTCATGACATTATTTGAATTCTACAAACTTTCCTATTTCAGCTTAACAGGGAAACAAGGAGAGAAATGCTCAACATTATACAATGGCAGGATTTCTTACTTCTCCAAGACTCTGTGTAGAAAGATCTGCAAAAGACTGGGCAGAGCTTGCCAGATTGGAGAGCAGAAGCTGAGTGCTTGCTGCAGCTTCTTTCTGGCGCTGAAGGTCTTTCATCACCCAGACACAGAAAAGTATGGCAGGGTCCTGCAGTTCTACACGTTTCACTTCAAAGAGTACACCTGTAGAAATGAGGGAGGAAGTTACAATGGTAAAATGCAACTTCAGTGTTGAATGAGACTGCAGACAATTTAGGACAAAATCCTGAGCTCTTAACAAAGTTAACTCCTCCTCCATTATTTATTTGGGGAGCACCTACTCAACAAGGAACCAGAGAGAGTGACAAATGTAGAATTATTGTAGAGATTCTTGGTGGCTACCTCCATATTCATCATCAATTTACATTTAAGTTTTACAATGGAGCTTATAGTTTATGTTCAGAAGAATTACTAAGTTCAAACCTTTTAATTGTATTTTAATGATATGTCTGACCATTCAGTCTGGACTAATTTTCATAGTAACTTTGTATTTTAGTTCTCACCAGAACTGTCTACACCTTCTGCAAAAATGTGGGTGGAAAAGACTATTCCAATGAGAGTTTTGGGAATTGAAGAAATAGGTTCAACTTACTTAACTGTGAACCATCTCTGTGACAGCAATTCCCAGAGTAGCTGCCTTCCAGAATCTCCAAGGTCAAAGGAGCTGCTGGATTCAGCCTTTCTTCTTGTTTCACTGGGGTTGATGTAATTTTTATCTCCAGATTTTCCTGCCCATGCAACACACAGTCCTCTTCAGGACTCCTTTTGCTTTTCAGGGGGTTTCTCTTGATGTTGTCCCTTGGAGACTCTGCAAGAGTTTTAGGCTTCTCAAGAAATGCTTTGGAGGATTCTTCTGAGTTTTCTATCTGCCTTGGGAAGGCCAGTAATCCAGAACCATCTTCTATGGTAACACCATCCACCAGCTGCCCTCCTTGACCAGTTGAAAGGGCATTGTTTTTCTGAGCTGGCATATTGTCTCCAGCCCAGTCCACTGTATTAGAAGAGGGTGTTCCAAGAGCTGCAGTAATACCCAAACAATTGTTTGAGTTCCCCTTGGCACCAATATCCAGATCCAGTACTTCAAGAACAGAGCAAATACAGTTCAGCTCAGTGCCTAACTCTGTAACACTTTCAGAGGGTGTGGCAACTCCTGGTGCAGAAGCTCTGCAACCCATTTTATTTCCAGAGCAAACATCATGGATTGTGATCCTTCCATTTGCAAGGAAGGATGAAGCATCATTTAGCAGGCAGTTTTCACTGACAATGGGCTCAAGGCTGGAATGTTTTGCATCACACACAAGATTTGTTTTTGACAATTGCCCTGTAAGCATCTGGCTGTGAAAGTCCTGTCTGCAGTCCAGTGTTCTCCCAGAACATGGCTCATCCATGGTTGGTGTTCCAGGTGAGTTACAAGTAAAATCAGAAGGTGGCTTAATGGGGCCATAGGATGCAAGGTCTAGATTGCCTTCTAACCTAGAACAAACAGGTGACCAGGCAACATTTACTGAAGGAGCCTGTCCCCAGGCATGAGGGGACTGCTGATGCTCCAGCATTTCATGGGGTAACTTACATATCTGCTGACAATTTAAATCCTTCAGGTCTTGATGAGGAACTTGTAATTGGTTAGGCAAGATATTAGTCTCACTGGCATTTTGAGTCTCAGATGCACCAGACTCTGCACTATCACTGCTTCTTGCTGGAATTTTCATGTTCTGACCTAAATCAAACTGTTCTGAATCGTATGGTGTGGGAAAGAACCGTGCAGAGAGAATCTTCTGAGAATTATTCAATCCTGCAGTTTCCACTGCTCTGCACTGTTCCACTGCTGGGATTCTGTCAAGGCAGGTCCCATGGGAAGGCTCTCCACAGTGGGCTGGCAGCCTCGTGGTACCAATCCTGTCTCCACTGCAAGAATTCAGTTATTAGTGACGTCAGGATGACAAAAGAATGAGAAAACCATCATGCTGTAGGCTGCCCACTCTTTCATCACTATGGTCACTTTTTAAAACCTTCACTAATTGTTTTATATATAAGTTTTAAAGGAAAACATAGAAAGCTGTTGGCATAGGCATCCAAAATCCTAACAAATTCCCTCTTGACCAAAGAAGAGCAGGTACAATTGAATGGCACTCTTCCCCTATGGAATACTTCCTTCTCCAGCTTAATTTCTAAATGTGTATCATGCACCACAAAAAGCCAACACGTGTGGCAGGAGACTTCCAGTCCTGAGAAAAGAAGATCCCTTGGCTGTCCAACAGAGGATGGATGTCCCCATCCACAAAATCAGACTGGTTTGGGTTGGAAGGGACCTTCAAGATCATCCAGATCCAACCCTCTGCATGGGCAGGGACACCTCCCAGCAGCCCAGGTTGCTCCAAGCCCCATCCAACCTGCCCTTCAACACTGCCAGGGATGGAGCAGCCACAGCTTCCCTGGGCAGCCTAGACCAGTGTCTCACCACCCTCATAGTGCAGAATTCCCTCCTAATGTCTTATCCACCAATTTAACCATAGTTCACTGAAACCCACAGTACACAAGGTGTTTTACAAACATTTCTATAAGTAAAAATGCAGTAGAGCATTTAAATTCCAAGTATGGTATGAGAGACATAAACCCAGGAGTACAAGGAAACAATGAGATTATCAGTCTCCCTAAAAAGCAGCAAGGACTGTGCTGTAATAGTCATTTATTAAAAAGGGTAATAAATATTTTCTGAGTGTTAGAATTGTTAATGTAGAAGGCTTAAAATTTGACTTAAGATAAACCATGTGCATCATATAGGTACTTGTGTGGAATTTTCTAACCTTGGAACAGAAAAAGACTGAGAAAAGTACAATAACAATGGCTGGACTCCAGTAACACAGTCTCCTGTTTTAATGTGTGACCTGACAGTTACACATTTACAATTAACTCCAGGGAACCTGAGTACAGTGCAACACCAGCTGGTGGGTGCCCTGGAAGGAGATGGATATCCACTGTTTCTGATCTAGCAAAGATAGAGCCTAGTCACCTCCCTAGCCTGGGGGAAGCATTTGGTCCCCTTTAGAGATGTAAAGTGACAGGAGTTCCAATTGTGGGATGTACAGGTCTAAACAAAAATCTAAGGCAGGCAAAACTCAACCTGTCTTGCAAATAGGACTCAGATTCTAAAGAGAGCAAAGTGCTGAACACCCTTGTTGTACCTTTCCACAAACACCACAGAAGTGAAAAAACTGGTGGCAGCCATCACAGCCCTTCATTTTGCATAGTGAATATACAGTCATGAAATGTCTACCTATTAGAGGGTGTGGATGCCACTTCAGGAGGTGAGGGAGTAGAAAAGAAACTGGTCCCATTCTTTTGTTTAATCTCATCATGTATTAATCTGTCTTCTTTGTGTCTTCTTTCCAATTTCTGCTCTTCATCTTTTGAGAGAAGGCTTGCTAAAGATGCAGCCAAGAAGCTGCTGTCTGCACCAAACAAGAAAAAAAACAAACCAGACCAAATTAACCTTTTATGTTTTGGCTTTGGAAATGACAATGATTAAAAACAATCTTGGGACTCCCTTGGTCTGTCTCATCCCTAAGGAATTAAGCATAAAATACATGACTAAGGCAAAGTGGTCCAAATATTAGGACTCCACACTACTTTGGCCTGTTCTCTCTGTTTTGGGCAGAGCTAGCTGGAAAGACAGATTTGGAGAGATGAGACTTCCTTGCTTCTGTTTATTCCCATTGTGCTGAGGGAAATATGGTTTTAATAAAATCTTTGTAGATGTAGTGAACTGCATCAGGGAAATACATGATGCCTCCTACCTGAAACAGCACAGCAACACAGCATTGAATATTAGGCAGCAACGTGAGCCAATTCAGAAGAATATTAGAGTTTTTCCTTAAAATATTAGTCCCAAGTATCTCCAGCTCTGCTGCAATACTGTCACAAAAGCTGTCTTCTACACATCATAAAATACTCAAGAGATCCTAAGAGGGGAGGGAGGGGAAGTGACATATTCATTAAGTACAAAAGTACTCTCTGTTGATGGTGCAATTTGCAACTTGGATATTCAGTTTCATCTTCTTAGTAACAAAGAGAGAAGCACAACCTTAGGTGAACAATTCTGTTCACCTTAGATTATAATGGAGACCCAATTTAAAAGTTGCATGGAGGAACATTGCTTTTACAAAGCATATTCCCATGTTCCCAGGCAAATCTGGTATCTTTAGTGATTAAATCTTTGTACCAGCAGCCAGAGCCAGTTGTATGGCAGGCAGGAGCATCTTCAAAGAGGCACTCACCCTCTGTCCCCATGGAGTTGTCAAGAGAAGGCAATGGCAAAGAACAGTCACTGCTTCTTTCCATGTTGTTATAGAAACCAGGGATCAGGAATGTGATGTTCTAAAACACAGAAGGAAACATTATAAAGCCAAGGTGACTCTCACAGGTTGGGGGCAAAGGGGAACAACCCTGACTTGCATGGATAGCCAGCCAAAAGCAACCCACAGGACTGAAGGAGAACTTGCTTTGGGCTACCTGAAATCCATACAAGATCCTCAGCACCATAAGAGCTAGCAATTCCAGCATGGGAATTGGCATATCAACCCATAACTCCATCACCAAACACACAGAACACTCAGGTTTTGTGACAGACAGAAATGAGTGTCAAAGACAGCTTAGAACTGCACTGGATACACTGCCAGACACAGGATTATTTGCGGAGGGCTTAAAACTCCTGTCTTACCTTTCCCACCAGGTCCTTCTTTTCATAGCCAAACAGCATCAAAGCAAAGCTATCCTTGATACCACAGATGGTTCCATCTGATTGGACAGTGATAAGACCACTGATGGTACAGAAAACCACAACTGTAGCAGAGTAATGGTAGCCTGTGGAAGAGCCCCCTTGTGTTGTCTGTGGAACATCTTCCTGCACTGCTGCTTGGTCCTCCTCCGGAAGCCCTACTTGCAGCTTCAAACTGAGAGGAAACGTGTTACCCTCTCTGGATCTGCCTACAGCTCGCTGGATCCTGAGATTCTAAATGAAAACAAAGATAAAACAAACAGAAAACCTCAAACTAACCAAATGTTTCACTTTTACTTCAGTATTCAGAGAAAACAACACAGGAGCATTCTCAGGAAAAAGGGGTGGGAAAAGCAAAATGAACCAATCCTGTGAACATCAAAATGACTCAAGGGTGTTTTTTTAAGGATTGGGAATCCAGTGTTGAACACCTGGATGAACAACCTGATGATGAAGACCAGGAACAGCCATGCTGCAGCTTTTCAGCAACTAAGGCATTAATAAGGCCTCTTTCAACTCTGTAGCTCCCTGTTTTCATGGCATTTGCAAGATTTAGGGATTCATTAGACTCTCACTCCTCAGACAGACATGACAGGACCCTGCTACAGAATTCAAAGGGATTTTAAGGAGGTGATAGAGAGAGACTGGTTTCTTAAAAAGCCAACCAGGACAGATGCCACAGTGATAATTCAAAGGGATTTTAAGGAGGTGATAGAGACTGGTTTCTTAAAAAGCCAGGATTGGAGAAATGTGCCTTTCACCAGGACAGATGCCACAGTGAGAGGCTGGAGCTTGGTCTCATTCCTAGTCAGGAAATATTCATACAGTAGCTCCAAAAATAAGCAGCATGCCCATTCTGGGGGACTTTTGCTTCTCTCTGAAGAAGTTTTCTTCTGTTACAGAAGGGGGGAAAAGAGTGTGCATCCATGTTCCAGATGGGAAGGATATGGAAGAACATGGTGCTCATACTGTACCTCTGGGATTTTTTTGCCTAGAGTAGGGATCTGCACAGAAGGAATCAGGTCCTTTATGTGGAGCCCAACTACCTCTTCCAATGCTGGGTAGCCATGGAGATGGGCAAAAAGGAGGTCACATGATGTAATCTCTCCCTTGGGAAGAAAATGTACAGAACTATTTTAGCCAACAGTCCACTCAGTCCTTTAACAACAGCTTCTGCATATGGCAGGAAGTTTCATCCCGCAGTCTTTGTGGATACAGCCACCTCAGTGAGAGCATACATGGCATAATGCAATACTTCTCCAACAGTACTGTGCAGAGAGCCTGCCTTTTGCCATGGAGGAGAAGCAGGGGAGTCCAACACTCCTCACAGAACCTTCCCACAGCAAGCTGATCCCTTCACACTGGCATCCCTGCCATGAATAACCAACCCCCTGCCAAACCCTCGCTGTTGAAATCTCAGATATCCCCAGGGAGCAGTCAGTGACTTGTGGAATGGGTAAAGCTGAGCCACATGGGAGATCCATGCACAGGTCCAACAGTGTTTTGCTCTTCCCTGTGTTGAAGTTTGTTTTTATTTTGGGTTGAAATAAAGCCCAGTGTTGATATGGCCCTGGCTGCCTTTTTGTTACAAGTTTTGTTGAGTTTCCTCTGGTTTCTGGATATGGTTTCAGCTGTAGTGTGATGTTGGAGGAAAAAGGGAAAATCAAAATTGGGAAGCTGTGGAAGCTCCATCCCTGGCAGTGTTGAAGGGCAGGTTGGATGGGGCTCTGAGTAACCTGGTCCGGTGGGAGGTGTGCCTGCCCATGCAGGGGGATTTGAACAAGATGATCTTGAAGGTCCCTTCCAACCCAAACCAGTCTGTGATCCTGTGTGCAGTCCTGAATTAGGACAGTGCTTTATACACACTTCAAGCTCAAAGAGTCACATGCCTACCCTGGCTTTGGGACAGGTTTCATTTGCACATAAACTCTCACAAACTGCACTCTCATTTGACAATTAGGAAAACACTCACATCAGCCCTGAAGGAAACAGAAGCTGAAAGTCTTTCCACTGGTTCCAGCACAACCACACAGCAGTGGTTGTCCTTGCTTCTTATTTCCCTCAACCAGACTGAGACGGGGATCTTCTCTTGCAGATGGCCAACAACATCCACCTTTTCATAGGATACAGAGGTATTAATAATTTACTCCAAGAATTTCAAAAAAGAATAAGACACTGAGCCAAGATACCTCCCCAGCATTGTTAAAAAAACCCATTTTGCATTTTGATTACTTACTAATTTGTGATTAGGAGAAACAGAGTTTTAATACATAGATGAAAAGGTTTGCAAATAATGCACAGATAATACACAAAATAAGTCATTGTTGCTTTTGTGTCTTCCCTCACAGCCTCAGGAAGACTCAAGGCATTTCCTTCAGCATAATCAAAGTGTTGATCTCACACCTTGCACTACAGAGAAGTGCTTTCCAGAGATGCTTTTTCTAGATGTCCCATGGTGCTAATGAATACTCTACATTAGTAACATAGGTCTTATTTTCTGCTGCAAAAATAGCAGCATCCTTTCTTCTGGGAGGAGATTCTTCTCCAATGAGAAAATGGTTCATTATCTTATAACCTGCAGCCTTCCTATCAAGCCTTTTATCATTTTTTGGTGTGATCTTTGCAGAATGGGTTTATGAATTACACAGTGACTCTTATAAAATATTTGGAATTGCTCTAGAATGAGTGCCTTTCTCAGACATTTAATTTTAGTTGATTTCATTGACTCAAACTTCAGTATTTGTTTTCCCTGCATTCAATTGAGGATTCAGGAATCTTAAGCTCTGAGGTGCTGAGACAATTTCAGTGCAAAAATAACACACCAGGAAGAATATGAGCTCATTTTCCAACTATTTTCTAGTGATAGCAGAAACATTTCTCATGCAAGTCTCTTATGAACAACTCCACTATAGGCAAAAAAAATCAATTCCACTCTTATGCACCAACTGGGCTGTTTGGCAGACATTTTACAGTATTTGACTGACTTGTAACTCTATAATATCCACAATGCAATTTAAGATAATTTCAAAAATATTTTAAAAGATCAGACAATTGGGAACTTTTCCCTAATAGTTTTTTTTTTCCATGTTAACCAATTATATTGATTTTTTTTTTTTTTTTAAAATCAATGTCCTTTAACTTCTGATTTGGTCAAGCTGGCAGTTGCAAGCCTCTCTCAAGTGCCTCCCAGACCATCTCTCACCCTTTGCATTCCCACACCTGCAAACTTTCAAACAGACCTAAAAATGGCATAATTGCCAAATGCCCACAAAGTTAAAGATATCAGGACATTATATTGAAAATGTAAAAAAACCCCAAACAAACAACCCTAAAACCTCAAAGAAAATCCTACAAAACCACTGTACAAGGTAGAGAATATTTGCTTAAACATTTCACATACCACAGTTCCTGAAATCACCAATGGATGCTCATCAGTTCCTATGTTCTCCTCACCCACAGCTTTCCATGCCTCTTGACTGGATTTGCATATCAAGTGGGACAGCTTTTGACCAATGAGTTCCTCACTCCTGCACCCAAACAGCTGGCAGGCTTTGTCATTAGCCACTAGGATCTAGAAAAGCAGGGAAAAAAACCACCCAAAACACCAAAAAAAAAAGAAAAAAAGTTGTCAGTTACTAAATCATCATATCCTCGGGTTGTTGCTTTAATCTCTTATAATATCCCTTCCTTTTGGTGGGAATAGAGTGGCTCTTTTAAATTCTTACATGTGTAAGAGAAGTTCACTAAAGCTTCTTATAGGTTTCCTGCTCTCTTTTAGCCACCTACCCACTCCAGCCCTGTGTGTCATATAATTAGTTATGTCCACAGAGGCAAAACAAACAAGTTGTATTTGAAAGCAAACCCTGGGCAGCCCACAAGATTTTACCCACCCCAAAGGCATGCAGTTCTCACACCAGTCACTGGCACACTTAAACCTATGTTAACAACCCAAGTTAGGATTAAATGCCTGGAAGATGGGCAAACGAAACTAAAAATGACACAGCTCTTTGAAGTTTCATATTCATGGCTGCTCTCAGGACACAACCAGAGAAATTCTGCCCATGCATATTTAGTGGGGCAGAGAGAGGGACCTTGTGCCACCACAAACCCATCCGACCCAGGCTTGAGGCACATTCTGCTTTTCCTCTCTTCCCTCGTGCCACTTGACAACTGCATTCTTCTTTAGTCCCTTATCCTGTTTGAAAAAAAGACTCAAGACATCCATCCTTCCACTAGTGTCCCGTGTGCTTTGCTAACTACAATCTGCAATGGAAATAAACAAGTTGTCAGTCTTTAGAAGACTGCTGAGCTTGAGCAGGCTATAAAATGCCTTAATTGACTGCAGATACATGCAAGAGTAACAGGCACAACCCAAGTCTGACAGTTCGGGAGCTACTGCTGCAAATACCTCTGTTGTGTTGGCATCAACAGTGAGGATGGCTTTGTTTTGATTCCGTGCAGGGAGGTGCTGGCTGGATTCCTCCACAGCCAGGGGATGCAAAAAGGAGCAAGAAGAACTTCCAATGGAAGTGGAGAGAGAGGCAGAATCCCACTGAGCCCCACAGTTAGCAGTTTTGCTCATACAAATGTTATGAGCTGTCAGTGATGACAAACAGTAAGAGCTCCATTTCTCCCCTGTAAGAAGATAAAGATGGGCTATTGCTGCAGGAGTATTACAGGAATGCATAAAAAAAAATTGTCAGCTGAAGAAACTGTCAAGTAATCCCCAAATATATGCTTCTAGATTCATAAAGAAATCACAAGAAAATAAAATCACTAAAACTAAAGAAAGCAGAAATAATACCAGTAAACATATCCTTCTGAATCACAGAACAATTAAACTCAGTCTGCAGGCTAGAAAAAAATTTTGCCAATATTCATAAGATTCAGATGAGTCAACTTTTATTTTTCACTTAACAAAGTTTAAAAGGTTTTGAAGTCTCTTCAGTTAAAATTGAAACTGTTATTAAATGTAATTACTGTAAGTGTTCAAGCCCTCATTAAATACCACATCAGCCAGAAGCCACTTAATTAACAGTTCGCAGGATGTGACACTGGAATACCTGTGCCAACCTTTTATGTTGGGCAATGCCAATTTATTCTACTAAAATGTTCAAAAATTCTGCCTGGAAAAGAAACCTTCCCCCAGGAAGTGGCATCAGCAGCCAAAAGCCATCACTGCACTCCCAAAACAGAAAGCAGCTTTGGAGGTTTATCAGACTGGAAGCAGCATCACGAACAAGTCATCACAAGGACATCTCCTGCATTTCTGCACCACATACAGTTATGAAAATGCCCACCATAGTAAAACCTGCAGAAGTACATCTGGATGCACTGTCAACTGCAAAGTTCATACTCTCCTTGCAGAATCCAGTAAAACAACATCTTTCTCCCCATTTGGAAATGTTTCATGTGTTAGGTAATAATACAAGGTAGCAGGGTGGTCAAAGAGCAACCAGTAAAGGCTGCCTGGAGACAAAAGCAGAACACCTCACCAACACCTCCACCCCAATAAACTCACCCAGCCTGCAGTGATTTATGGCTCAGGACCTTATTGCACAGGTGCTTTCTGGCAGCTACTTATTGCTATCACCTGTAAGTCTGAGGAAGGGGAGGAGGAAAACCTGAAACCAGCTGAAACACATCAGCTTCACTGAAGACACAGCAACACAACCTCAAAGTAACAGTGCTCACCAGGCAGAGACGCTCTCAGCCGGCAGAGTCCAGAGAGCTGCCTTCTCCTGCTGGCCCGGGGGTAGGATCTACTGAGCTTATCAGAGTCATTCCAGTGGGCAAGGACTGAGTTGACTGATGAGGGCAGAAGACCCCCCTGGGAGGGGCTAGAGGCCTGGGCTGCCATGCTCACATTCTGGTTGCCACACCACCTGCAACAGAAGCAGGGGCAGCTCAGTCAGGCCTGGAGCTGGGCGCTGCGGCTCAGCCACGGGCAGTATCGCTGCCTTCCAGCCCCGAGTCACAGCCCGACGGCCGCTCCTGTCTCTCAACATTTTGGGCTGTGTTTTACAAACAACCCTGACTCTATTTCCCCCAGCCCGGTGCTGCAGGACACCTGCGCCCCACAGGCCCCCCCTCCATCCCACCGGTGCTAAGAAGCCACCGAGCGCCCGCCCCGCGCTCCCTCCCCGTTCCTGGCCGGTTTTGTAACCGAAACCTTTGCCGCTTTGGGAAGCGCTTCCCAGTCCGGAGCCAGCACGC